GGTGTTTAATGAATGAATAACTAAATGAATACAAGTGGCAACGCCATCAGAACCCCTAATATAATATAATATCATTCTGTTCTCACAAGAAGCACTTTGAAATGTAATTAATATGCCCTAGCTGGTCTGGCTTAGTGGATAGATAAACTGTGGACTGGAGGGTCACAGGTTCGATTGTGGTCAAGGGTTCAATCCCCAGTAGAGGGCATGCAGGAGGCAGCTGATCAATGATTCTCTCTCATCATTGATGTTTCTATCTCTCTCTCCTTCTCCCGTCCTCTCTAAAATGAATAAAAAAAATTTTTTTTAAGAAAAATAATTATTTTTTTCCTTGACGTAAAAATAATACCTAGTCATTGCCAAAAATTTGGAAATTACAAAAAGATATAAGTAAAATAATAAAATTACTAGTATGTACCATTCAGAGATGACACATTCCATTTTCTAACAGTTTTACTGAAATAAAATATATTTATAAAATTTATAAAATGAATTACTGTCTTTGGAGATTTTTAAAACAGAACCGATTTTTCATTCTCTTGTTTCCTTTGAAGAGTATTGATTCATACAGTGATTAACCTTGGCTGCACATCAGTATAGCCAGTGAAGTTTTTCAAAATATAGATGCCTTTTTTTGCTCTTCTAATAAAAAATTTAGATGAGACTACTTTCTAGAAACCTAAAGTGTACAATTCAGTGGTTTTTATTTATTTACAGAGTTGTGCAACCATCACCACAATCAATTTTAGAACATTTTTATCACTCCATGCAGAAACCCCATCACCATTAATAGTCACTCATCATTCCCTCCATACTCCCAAGCCTAAGCAACTATTAATCCACTTTCTGTCTCTTTAGATTTGCTCTTTTGGACATTTCATATAAATGGAATCATATAAAATGTGCTTTTATTTGTCACTGTTGTTTTTTCATTTAGTATAATGTTTTCAAGATTCATCTATTGTAGCATGTATCAGTACTTCATTTCTTTTATTATCAAACTAGAAACCTGGTGTATGAAATTCACGGGGGGGGTGGGGGGGGTCGCTAAGCCCAGCCTGCATCCTCTCGCAATCCAGGACCCCTTGGGGGACGTTGGGCCTAAACCGGCACTCAGACATCCCTCTCGCAATCCAGGACTCTGCATGCACCAGTGACCATACTTTTCATACAGGTGAAAGGCATCATGCTATTTTATGGGCAGGTACATTTTTTTGCCCTGATTATAAAAAAAAGTACATAACATGATCCTTCTCAGGCAGTAGTACCATTTTCCCCATCTTATGGGTGGAAAAACTGAAACAGGGAGAAGTTAAGTAATTGGCTTTGTCACACAGTTATAAGTGTCAGAATCAGGGCTGACCACAAGATGTGCAAGCCAGAGTCCATTCATGTCATCACTGCATCATCCTATTTTTTCAGTGTTAGAGTATCCTTGCCAGGTTTTAATTTTTAAATCTAAGAGACTTTTCCCAATATATCGGGTAGGGTCCCTAGGCCTGGCTGGCGATCAGGGCCATCTGTGAAGTGACCGGCGTGCCGGGCAATCGGGGGGCACCTGTTTTGGCTGGCAGTCTGGTGCCGCTTGCTGGCTGGCCCCACCCCCTGATTGCTGCTGCCCGTTGCCTCACTCTCCGGGGGCAGATGTGTCATAGTGACCAGTCATTTCTCCCGTCATTCTGCTGGTTGGTCGATTTGCATAGTAGGATTTTATTGTATAGGACTAGAGGCCTGGGGTATTGAGGGCCGATTGGGTGTGGGGCCAGCTGGGGGAGGGGCTGTGGGTGGTTGGCCAGGCGGCCCCACCCCCATCAGGGTGTTGGGGGCCAATCGAGGGTGGGGCTGGCCAGTGGGTGGGGCCAGAGGTGCCAATCAGGCCTAGATCAGGCTGGTTGACTGCCACAGTGCGTGTCATAGCCACCAGTCGTTCTGGTCATTCTGCCGTTCTGGTCGCTGGGCTTTTATATTTATAGAATAATACTCCATTTTATAGATAAAACCAGATTTTATTTATCCACTCATTGGTTGAGGGATATTTGGGTTGTTTCAACTTTTTGGCTAGCATAAATAATGCTGCTAATGACCATTCATATACAAATTTTTGTGTGGATGTGTGTCTTACTTTCTCTTGGATGTAC